AGATAGATAGATAGATAGATAGATAGATAGATAGATAGATAGATGGATGATAGGTAGATGATAGGTAGGTAGGTAGGTAGGTAGATAGAGATAGATAGATGGGTGGATGATAAGTAGGTCGGTAGGTAGGTAGGCAGGCATAGATAGATAGATAGATAGATAGATAGATAGATAGATAGGCAGGCAGGCAGGCAGGCAGATAGATTGATCGATCGATCTCTCCTTCACGGCAGCCCCTCAAATCCTGGAAGGCTGCCCTGCTGTCTCCCCCTCTAGTCCTTCCCTTCTCTAGACTGGCCAGGCCCAGTTCTTGCAACCGTTCTCCATACATTTTTTGTCTCCAGGCCTGGAATCATCTTAGCTCCTCTTCTCTGAATCCAGATGCTTTGAGTTTAAATGCTGGCTTTAAAGAGACAAAGAGCTCATTCAGCAGGGAAGGAATGCGTGCAGGCACACACCCGCCCCCTGCACGCACATGCACACACACACACACACACACACACACACACACACACACACACACTGTTGCAGAGTTCACCCCGAGTTCACACTGCAGAGTATGGCTGGGTGGGCACAGCTGCCACGGAGCAGGTGGGAGCCCGGTTCAACTGGCAGGGCTTGTTTGTGGCATCTCCTGGGTGAGACTTCGATGACCCTCGGATGCTTCAAATTTTTTCCGTTTTTTTTTCCAGCAAAAACCAAGGCTGGTTTCGCAGAATTATAGGATATCAGAGTTGGAAGGGACCGTGGAGGTCTTCTAGTCCAACCCCCTAGTCAAGCAGGAGATCTGTGTCATTTCAGACAAATGGCTGTCCGATCTCTTCTTAAAAAGCTTCCGGTGATGAAGCACCCACAACTTCTGGTGGCAGGCTGTTCCCCTGGTTTCATTGTCCTCATTGTCAGGAAATTCCTCCTTAATTCCAGGTTGCTTCTCTCCTTGATTAGTTTCCATCCAGTCCTTCTTTTTCTGCCTTGGGGGGGTGAGGGGGGGTGGCTTTGGAGACTAGCTTGACCCCCTTCCTCCTCTCTGGGGCAGCCCCTAAAATATTGGAAGGCTGCTATCATGTCGCACCCTGGTCCTTTTCATGAAACGAGAGCTACCCAATTCTGGCAACTGGTCTTCATTTCTTTCAGCCTCCAGTTCCCTAATCATATTTGATGCGCTTCTCTGCACCAGGAAGGAAGGAAGGAAGGAAGGAAGGAAGGAAGGAAGGAAGGAGGGAAGGAAGGAAGGAGGGAGGGAGGGAGGAGTGAAGGAAGGAACAAAGGAAAGAAGGAAGGAGAGAGGGAGAGAAGGAAAGAAGGGGGAGGGAGGGAAGGAAGGAAGGGGGGAGGGAGGAAGGAAGGAAGGAAGGAGGGAGGGAGGGAAGGAGGGAGGGAAGGAGGGAGGGAAGGAAGGGGTGGAGAGAAGAGGAGAAGGAAGGAGGGAGGGAGGGAGGGAGGGAGGAGGGAGTGAAGGAAGGAACAAAGAAAAGAAGGAAGGAGGGAGGGAAGGAAGGGGTGGGGAGAAGAGAAGAGAAGGAAAGGGAAACAAGGAGAAAGAAAGGGAAGGAAGGAAGGAAGGAAGGAAGGAAGGAAGGAAGGAAGGAAGGAAGGAAAAGACCGTGGCTAGGACATGAGGAAAAAAGTCTGCAAACACACTCCTAATTTGTTCACTGTTAACGAGTCCATGTCAAAAGCCCTTGGTTTTTACGTTTTAACCGTGCCGGTGGGGGCCATGGGTTACTTGTGCAAAAAGGAGCCCAGAAGAGCCCCCAGTGGTGACCCCACTCTTGCCCCATTCCTGTTCCTGACAGCACCGTCTCAGATCAGTGGATTAAAAGGGATTTTCCATTCCTACAATATAGACCCCAAACGCCCTAGGGACAGAGGTCCCCAAACTTGGCCACTTTAAGACTTGTGGGCTCTGCTCTGCTGGCTGGAGAATTCTGGGAGTTGAAGTCCACCAGTCTTAAAAGTGGCCAAGTTTGGGGACCCCCAAATGCCTAGAAAGACCCTGTAAACGTGTCGAGGATTTTCAAAAGAGCCGGGTGCACAAAATCTTAAACTTTGCAACCGAACGCAGCTGTTGGCTCCTCCAGCTTTCCAACAACCACAATCAAGAGAGACGACAACTCGCCCACAAAAACTGGGACTCTGCTATTTTGGGGGATAAACTTCCGAGGCTGAGAAGTATATTTGGCGGATCTCGGACAGAATAAGCAGCCAGAAAAATGACGACAATATTGAGAGTTAACAAAGGGACAAAATTAGGGACAGACTTCAGATAAGCCACAGGGTTCCTACAGCTACGTGGCTGTTTGTTCCCGGTGGGAAACAAATAAATGGAAAGAGCCTAGATAATTTTGTTGTGGGGGGGGGGGGGGGGGATATTTACAAGGCTCCACAGGTGGAAAAGCGACTAGCAGTCTTCAACGCACAACCACAATTTGAGCCCAAAATTGACGTTGCGAAGGGAGAAATTTGTGAATTTGCCCCGCTTTATGACTTTTCTGGCCCAGTTTCTTAAGTGAATCACTGCACTTCTTGAATTAGTAACACGGGTTGTTAAGCCCACCTACAGGGACGAGACCACAGCTGAGTCAGTTTCAGGGGTGAAGCCTTAAAAACCAGGAGACGGTGAGTTCTAGTCCTGCCTTAGGCATGAAAGCCACTGGGTGACTTTGGGCCAATCACTAGGAGACCGTGAGCGTCCTACTGTAAACCAAATTTAGCTACATTTCCATTTCTTTCTTTTTTTTAAATGCATACCTGTAATTTCTTTAAATTACTATTCTCTCCTTCTTTTCTGTGCTTTTTATAACATTGGAAACTTATGATGAGAAGGCATTTTTTTTTTTAGACTGTAACAAACCTCAAAACCTCCCAAAATAACAGACTTCCTGGTAGTTCTCCCAACTGGAGAATCCTACCCTGAGGAATGTTGCGTGGCAAGTAATATTTTTAGCAAAACTTTACACTTTCCCACTGCAACTCCGCTTACAATGTCCCTGGAGTAAAACAGAGCTAGAAGTCTGCTTCCTAGACTTCAACTTCCCGCTCTCCCCAATAATTTATTTAATAAACGTTTTACGAAGCAGAGAATTGTTAAAGAAACCACAAAGCCCATCAGCATATGGTCTGCATTCTCCCTCTTCCGAAGCAGGCTTCATCACTTAAGGGCATGAATCGGAAAAACAGAGTTGGAAGGGACCTTGGAGGTCATCTAGCCCAACCCCCTTGCTCAATGTTGTGGTCCGCCGGCAGCAGGTGCGGATGGCTGAGGTCTCGGAGAGCGAGGACTCAGGTGAGGGGCCTGCGTGTGATGCAGGGATGGGGCCAGGACCATCAGGGAGTGGAAGGCTGCCTTCGGAGATGGTGGAGGCTGGCAGCAGTGAGGAAGAGCACCCCGAGGAGCCTGTGCCCAGTGAGCATGCGCGCAGGGCTGCTCAAAGGAAAGAGCAGCTATAGCAGCATGGGAGACTCGGGAGTAAGGCTGCAAGGTAATGGCTCCTCCCTTAAGAGATAAAAGCCAGCTGAGAAACCGGAGCTCTTTGCAGGAAGCAAAGAAGCTTGATACTCGAGTCTGGTGGACGTTCGGAATATCTGAGCTGGTGTTTGGAGACTCTTTGATTTATTGTTCAGGAACTTTATCTGTTGTTCTTGACAGCCTTGCAAAAATTTAGCCAGGCCCTTTCTTATCGGAGCTAATGAGTTGGAAGGAGCCTTTTATCCGTGAAGGAACGGGATTCGTAAACGAAACAGTAAAAGGTTGCGTTGGTACCTTTGTCTCGTGTTTGCTTTCTGGGAACCAGGTTTGGGTCACAACACTCAGGCAGGAAACCCTCCATCCCATTTCAGACCAATTGCTCTCCAATCTCTTCTTGAAACCCTCCAGTGATGGAGAAACCACAACTTCTGGTGGCAAGTTGTTCCACTGTTTAATTGTTCTCACTGTTAAGAAGTTTCTCTTTAATTCCAGGTTGCTTCTTTCCTCCGTTAGTTTTCATCCATTGCTTGTCCTGCCTCCTGGAAAATATGTTGACTCCCTCTGGTTTGTGGTCGCCCCTCAAATATCAGAAATATTGCTATTATGTCCCCCCTACTCCTTCTTTACACTAGACATACCCAATTCCTGCAATCATTCTTCATATATTTTAGTCTCCAGGCCTTTCATCATCTTTCGTTGCTCTTCTCTGCCCTTTTC